TTTCTCATCGTGTTTAGCCCAAGGCACAAACACACACATATATACAGCATATTAACATACGCAGCTCCTTAACAAAGGAACGCAGCCCTATGTTCTAGAGACAGAGTGGAAAAAAAAACTGGTCGAACTAGTCGGCCGTTGCCGATCTTATCTTCACGTGGGGCTATCGGCTGGTTTCTCTCTCTCTCTCCCCCCTCTCCGGCCCCTAGCTACCAATGTAAAGGAATATCCAAGAAGATATGCGAGCAGATGTCTACTTACCTGGCTTAACTGCTTTGCCAGATAAAGAGCAGCTGTTAACATTGGCTTGCTTGGCAGCCCTTTTCGTAATCTAACTTGAGTTTATCAACACATCTTTGGCAGGACCACGGTCTCTTTGTAACATTCTAAGCTGTTGCTGCCTCTGTCTGTACAGAGGAATGAAAAAAAAAACTTCTTTTTTTTTTTTTTCTTATGAAGGTATGGCCCAAGGTCACTTTACCCGCACCAGGTCTACGCCACGGAAACATCGCCATTCCAGCTAACGTATTATCATCCTTCGTAATACGAGCCAATTATAAAGCTCTCGAAGGACGTTGGAGACAGAGTTGGCTTTTTTTTTCTCCACTTCTTTATAAGAAAAAGACATGCTTTCGGTTTTCTTTTAATGGTTGTTGAGTTAGTGAACTATACGAAGTGATATCTTAACACCTGCTTGAACAAATGTGATATCTTAACACCTGCTTCAACAAATGAAGGATAGTACAGGATTTCCTGGGAAATAGCCGCTAGAATGAGTAAATTGTTATAACGTATGATTTGACCAGTTTCTTTGGCCTGTCGTTTGCGGATTGATAGCTCTATTACGACCGATGTACAGACGAATGTTAAAATAGACGCGTTGTCGTGCGTTCGTTTCCAATATACGCCTTAACACGCACTGTGAAACCAGTCCTCCCACTATAGTGCAACTTACTGCTAATTGGTGTTAACGTTCAACCTTAACAAATAAAACAAGCTTGTTATTTTTTCCATCACTGTACAACTTAGTAAGCACATAAAGAGTTCACGCTGAAATCTTTTCTTGAGTTTTAGGCCTCCCCCCCCCCCACCCCGTGGCCCATTACAATTCCGTGGGATTATAACGCTAAAAATCGGGTTTCGATACCCGTAAAGGGCAGAGCATAGATAGCCCATGGTATAGCTTCGTGCTTAACAACAAATAAACAAACGTGAATCTTGATTGGAGAAATCTGAAACATAAACAGCGTATCGAGAAATATTGGTCTGTGTGTGTGTATGGATGTAAACGGCTCATTTCCTAGGTACATATTTCAGTAAAGCAACATACACAGAAACAGATTGGACATGGCCAGAATATAAAGTAGAAGATATCTGACTCCTTCAAACATGTTGACATTTATTTAATGGTTATCGTATTGTAATGAAAATAAAAACAACCTTTATTGTCTGGTAACAATCTGAATAAAAAAACGTAAATTATGGTAAGCAGTCATAGTAAACGTTTCTGCCCTAGTGATTAATAATAAAAAATACAAGCAACGAAGATGGCTCACAAACCTCAACTTTTCTTTACAATTTTCAAATTAGGGTTTTGTTTTCATTATTCCCATTATATACAGAGACTCTGTATTAATAAGCATAAAAACAAAACTGAATTTATAATACACTAAGGGAAAATAACTAATAAACTAAGCTAATTAAGAGTCAGTTTCTGTTCATAAACGAAGTAAAAATACAATTTGGGAATGCTAATAACTGTGATATCAAAAAGAAAAGCTGTTAAACGATTCATTCAATATTTGATGTATATATCAAACTAAGTTTGTGGGTGTTTGTTCGCCACATTTCAATCATCTGTTCTTAATACGTTTCCACATTTTTTGATCAATCAGCACCCAACTTGACACTGTGATACAGGATGAAATGAGGTGAGGGGGTGGTGGAACCCCCAACTAATTTCAGAAAATAAAAAACTACCAAATCAGCACAACTTGACAAAGTGATACAGGATGACATGAGGAAGTCATGAGGGGTTGGACCCCCATCTAATTTCATATTGATATGGGGTGGAACCCCCCATCTAATTTCGGGGGAAAAGCTACCAAATCAGCACAACTTGACAAAGTGATACAGGATGTCGTGAGGAAAGACATGAGGGGGTTGGACCCCCATTTAATTTCATATTGATAGAATTCTTGAAAACAGGATTATTTTCCATATTGGTACCTTTATATATTCTTATTGCACTTTTAATGTTTATTATGTTAAGAAAAAAATCGAAGCACGATTTTTCTATATTTTGTTTTGTTACAAACGAGTTTTCTCCCGTACAACGGACTAGTACTCCAGCTAGTATATTAATAAATCGGTATACAGTTGGTAAGTGGTTGATATTGCTTGTTTTG